ATTAAGAATTAAAAAATAAAGAAATGCGGAATTTGAAATGGAAATAATTAAAGTATTTGTGTTGGAATAATCCGTTGGAATACAATTTGATGTACAAAATTCTGTTCTTCTGTGATTGAATGAGCAAATTGGAAAAGACGAGTTAATAAGTTTTAGTACTGCTGCTATTAAGTAATTACGTAATAAGACGTAATCGGAATTTTCCAAATTGTGACCAATGGCTGAACAGGTATTTCTTAGTTTCTCCGACGGATTTAATGATTTATTAATCTTATTAATGTTTGCTACTACGAATTCTTCGTCGTAATGTGAAGTTGGAAGGGCTTTTCCGGATGGGATTCTAGAAATAAGGTCAGTGAAGCCCATGTCTTTTCCTGCGATATGTTTGATTGAGAAATTAAAAGGTAATAATCTGTCTACCCATCTTGTTAATCTACTGTGGTAGGTTTTATTTCCGTGGTTTGGTGAAAGAGCGGATAATAGGGCCTTGTGATCAGTAATTATTTCGAAATCAGAGCCGTAGAGGTAATTTTTATAATGCTCAACAGCCCAAACAACCCCTAAAAGTTCGAGTTCGTTAGTAGAGTATTTGGACTCGTGAGGATTTAAAAAACGTGACGCAAATGAGATTGTTTTCCAATCGTTCCCATGGAGTTGTTCCAGCGAGGCTCCAAGTCCATTGTGTGATGCGTCTGTTTTCACTCTAGTTTTTCGTTTTACATCGAAATGTGTATTCTCTGTTAAATTAACGATTTCCTCTTTTATTCTTTCAAACGCTTTTGTATGATCATCGTTCCATTGGAATATTGATTTCTTATTTAGGAGCGGACGGAGTGGGCTTCCTAAGGATGCAAGGTTTGGGACAAATTTAATGTATTGGTTTATAGAACCAAAAAATGATCGTAATTCTTTCAGATTCTTCGGTATAGGTAGGTCTTTGATAGCTTTCGATTTGTCGAATAACGGGGTAATTCCTGATTTAGAGATTTTAAATCCCAACCATTCTATTTCTTTTTGAAAGAATTTACATTTTGACCATTTTACGGCAAAGTTGTATTCGTCGAGGGTCGATAGAATTTTTAATACAATATTCTTGTGGTCTAAGAATGTTCCTTTGGAAGAAATTAAAATGTCGTCCAAGTAACAATTTGTAAATGGGATTGAACCTAACGTAGAGTCCATTACTCTTTGAAATTCGTTGGGCATATCCCCTAAGCCGTAAAAACCAGTTAAAAATTGGTAAGTACCAGTAATGTCACCGCCCACAATACTGAAGTTACATTGGTTACTAGTAAATTTGTCTAATGCTAATTGACTGTATGCATTTTTTAAGTCTAGATTAGTAAACCACACTTCTCCAACGGAATCATTAGTAATTTGTGCCGCGACGTTGTCTACAAGTTCATGAATGTTTGGCATTTGATATTTGTTCTTGTAAATCTGTTTGTTTATGAACTTGGAATCTAATGCCAGTTTGATAGATTTGTCTTTTTTGCAAGTGATGACTATTGGGCTAATAAATCTGTCTTCGTCGCAATTTTCCAATTTTTTAATATGTCCCTCTGCTTTTAATCTATTGAGTTCTGTTTTTACCGCATCCAGTAAATGTAGGGGGACACGTCTTCCTTTTAGTTGGATTGGTTTTAATGGTTCGTGAAAATGGGTAATTTTCATTTGATTTTTAATTTTTCCAATCCGAAGGAATAAATTTTTAAATGACTTTGATATATTAAGGATTTCCCTATCTTGGTTTGTTTGGGAAATGGAATTTACTGACTTACACTGCTTGTTGGTCTGGAAGTGTGGAAAATGTTTCTGAGAGACCTCTATTCCCACTTTTGGAAGGTTGTCGTTTCCTAAGATGTTCCTTTCATGTCCCTCGGTTAAGAAGAATTGACAGTCGTTATCTGACCAACCATTTGAGAATATCGGAATCTTCACCTTTCCAGTGATATTTATGGAATTATCCGTGAATCCACAGTAAAGGTCTCTGGTTGTCTTATCCACCGGATAAATTTTCAAGTATGGATCGCGTAATTTCAATTCGTGAAGAACGTTTTTCTTAAGAAAGCTCACTGGGCTAGCTGAATCCACTTGAATGTTTAAAATTACTTGGTTTTCTTTTCCGAGTCCGATGTTTAATAATTTCTTCAGTTCCTTTCCGTCGTTATCAAAAATTGTAGTTATATTTAGTACAGAGTAATCGTCGTTTTCACTTTGTCCAGATTCCGACCATGCGTTTATGACACCGCAACATTCTCTATCCGTGTGGTCGGTATTTACATCCGGGAAATCCGACGGATTAAAATCTGTATTATCTACAATTTGGGTATTTACAATGTTTACATTTTTACGTCGAGATCTACAAAGTCTGGTGAAATGACCTTTGAATTTACAAGAAGTACAAGTTGTGTCCTTTGCTGGGCAAACTGCTAAGTGTCCTTTTGAGAATGAACCGCCACACTTCATACAGCTGTTACTTCTTTCGATGTTGAGAGTTGGTTCTCTTTTGACGTTAAAATGGTTGTTTGGTTTATGTACAGATGATCCGTTGGATTTGAAATTATTAGTTAACTTCAAGTGATTTAAAATTCCTTTTTCATCGATAAGTGCTACGTTTAGTGCTTCGCGTGGAGGGAGGGTTTCTGTTAATAATTTCCTTTGTATATCGTAGTTTTTCATATTATTTATGAAAATATCTCTTATCCACTCTTCTTCTCCTGCGGATATGTCGCACTTTTTAGCCATTTCAGCTAAGGCACCCCAAAATTGTTCGAGGGATTCTCTGTCGCGTTGTTTTCTATTTAACAGTTTATGTCGTTCAAATGGGACGTTTGATTTTCTTACGAAAGCAGTCGCTAAAAACTCCCAGAATTGTTTAAAAGAAATTTGTAAGACTTTCACCTTGGTAAATTTCTGTCCGAAGATCCTTTTTCCTTCATTTCCCAATGCCAGATATAAGACTGATCGTAATTTCTTGTCTGCTTCTTCTATTCGCATTCCGTTAAATTTCTTAGTTTCGGTTTTTATCGAAGCTGTTTCTTCTTCGTCATATCTTCTTTGTTCTTGGATATTTCTCTCCAATCTCAAGCGTCTTTGGGCGTCTGTTTCACCGTCCGGTGGGTTTTCCAAATTTGGTGGTAATGGATGTTGTCTCTCCGACGGATTGAGTAGATTTTCTATATCTATGTTTTCTTTAGCTATAATTGCTAATTGAAACAGATCACTCCAATCTTCCCAAGGGATGGGTGGGTCTACCGTATGGTTTTGCCAAAAGGGAGGTATTCCTCTCACGTTAGATTCGTTTGATGACTGCGCCATGATAAAATGTTACTTTGTTGTAGCTAATTCTAAATTAAAACTATCAAAAGGGATAAGAAATAATATGAATTAGTCGGTAAGTTAAAACATTAAAACAATGAGAAATCATTCTCTCCGCCGGAGAGAATGGCTAGTGAAGGTCATAACTAAGTGACCGGTTAATTAAATAAGTATGTTTAGCAATAATTGCAAAACCTGATGTAAAATCACAACAATGATGAATATGAGATCAACTTTATTCTACTTTTTCTTCTGTTGGTCAGTCTAGTAAATCAAGATTTCAATAAAAAATTTAGGGGCTAGTTATGTAATATGACTATATGGCGGGGAGGGTTCTCATGCTTGAAGGACTGAATGCTTGAAAAGTTTCAACCAATCAAAATCGCTAAACGTTTCTATTGGCTGAATGCCTTTCTCACAAAATCGAAGTCAAAATTAACAGAAAATGTATTACATCAGTGGAAAATAATCGAAAATATTACAAATTGCAGGTAACAACCGCATTACTATTCAGATAATCATCAACATTAATGAGTTCAAAAAATAAGACTTTTTCAGTCTTGAAAACTTATCTACTTATTGTTTAATCGGTCAATAATAACACTAATGGCCTGGATTTATTTTCTTACTCTGAGATTTTTGTGATTTTTTTTTGAGATTTTGAATACTCAATTTTGATTGGCTGAAAGCAAGCTAAAATTAATTTCAAGCATTCGGTCCTTCAAGCAAATACTTTACAATTGCATAAAAAGCAAAAGTCAATGGGTCTAGGACAACAAGCCGACGGGACTTCAAGCCCAAGGGACTTCAGGCCGAAAATTAAACTTTACAAGCACCTCAAATCAATATTTTTTCATCTGTAAAACGTTGCTTTTCAAAATCGTACGCTAGTTTAGTCCATAATAAGCGTTATTTATGACAATGAATCATTTAGGATTGACATCCGTTAATAATATCAGCTGGTTTTTAAAATGCATAAATTATAAACAAGAAATTTGCCTTCAACCGTGTTTATTTTTCAACTTTCCTAAACATCATTTGGATGTTTAAATTTTATGAAAACGCTAATAAATACCGACTAAAGATCATGAAAATGAAAAAATCTTCCGAAAAGTGTTCAAATTAATCTTATTTCATGACTTCATGAGAAAATTTTCGGCTTGAAGTTCCTAATTTTACGATTCGGCTTGAAGTCCCGTCGGCTTGATGTCCGGCACCCAAAGTCAATATATGAAAGAAACGCCGAACAGATTGTTGTAAAAAGAATTTTCGAAACTTAACACCTTAAAAGGCGATCAGAACATTCATGATTTTGCTCCGAGGATCTTGTAAACTAATTTTTACCCCTATTGCAAAAGGGGGAAACTTCGTTACGAGTTGCAAAACTCACATGTTCGTAATTAATGAATTATAGTTATTTAAGTATTTAAGGGATGGCACATCTTTACTAGATACCGTAATGCGGCGGAGGAAGGGGGGGGGGCAAAACAATTGTTAAGACCCGGTTCCGGTACAGAATTTTTGTTTTCATTTGATTGAAGAAACCTGAGCCTAGTCGGTTTTTGAAGCTTCTTTTTTGAACACAGATGCTTTTGAATTATAAGTGTATGTTTAAATAATCGCATCTTGCAAATGCGGAATGCAATTACCGAATCGGGATTTTTTTCTTTGTGTAGAGTAATTTTGAGTAATAAAATATGGCGCACATTTAGTTGAGTTAGAGTAGAGCTAATCGTTTTTACGGCCTATAGTTAAGCGTATGTTTATAATGAACAATACGATCATTCTTCAGTTTATCTCAAACCAACATTAGACACAAACTGCGCGAAACTCAAACACAGTTTAAATCTGGTTCGAACATAAAACTTGCGTTTATTATTCACGCAGAGTACAAATAGTTAACAACTCCATAACTTACAAACCTACATTTTCAGAGAAGTAAGTAACCATTTTTTGTCACGGAATTTGTCCGCACTCGGAATTAACCCGCTATAAGTAAATACCTAAAATTTATCTTCCAAGTAAAAGTAGTGTACTTTGTGATTTGAATAATCAATTGTTTCGGTTCCGAAAAAAACGGTAAAAAAGTGCATTTTTTGTTGAAATGAAATCTACATAGTCGTAATTTTCATTATATAGCTAAAAGTTATCATGCTGTTTGTCAACCTTTTATGGTTTTACCGCTCATGAGGATCCCCTTAAGCCCCAGGAACTCAAAAATGTCACTGTCAGATTCTTTATAAACAAATAGTATTTTGTGAAGAAACTTTTCGAAGGATAGACACTAGACTACACAGAGAGAGGAGTGCTGATGACGTCATCTGACAGTTCGAATAGCACGATCAATGCCCTGCTGAGGGCTGAGAAGGAGGCGAAGGGGGTGGTGGAGACTGCGAGGGGGGAGAGGAAGCAGCAGCTGAAGAGGGCCCAGATGGAGGCCAACGACCACATCATCGCACTCAAGGAACAGGCACAGCAGGAGGTAAGACCCCACCACAGATATTTAACTGACAATACACACATTTCTTCATCACTATTGCGCATCTTATTAAAATAAGTCAATCTTTCCTTTGGGTGAAGGGGGGGTTAGGTTCACTATACTGTCGTAGGTTGGGGGATGAAGGTGTCCTAGGTTCAATGCAGAACACGTGTTTTATGATCATCAGTCTTTTCGTAAGTCGCGCCGCTGGTCTTTTTGCTCGCGGAAGCATGCTGATAATGAATATGAACAAGCACATGCCGTGCGGAACGGCCTGCTCTCGGCGAGTGACGGACTGGCTAAGAGTGATTTTCGCCTGACTGCAGAACATCATTTCCTTTCAACTTATATGAGTTCAAACTAACATCATTGAAGAATTCGTAATTTGGGAAGTTGCCTTAAGTTATTCATAAAGCACTTGGCCTTGCAGGAAAGGTTGTTTGATTTTTGAAGGCTTTTGTTGATAAACAACAGCCGGAGCTGAAAATCGTATCAGGTTTTTTTAAGAGAAAACAACACTTCAATCTTCCTCAACGAGTCGAGGGAGCGGTGGTGAAGTGGTTATGGGGAGCGGTGGTGAAGTGGTTACGTCTCCGCCTCTTAATCGAAAGGTCGGATGTTCGAGGCCCACCATGATCCGTGCTCGTTGCTTGAGGGTGAAGCAACATTACCCAGCCCAGAAAAATAACCACAAAAAATTGCATGTAGTTCTTAAACAGGGGCACAACAGCGGTTCGCCGTGATGAGCTGTACAGCTCTTGTGTTGGTCCTTTCCCCCGTGGATAAATGGTCTTAATGTAGATTTTTAAAAGTTTGTTGAGTTATAACCGATGGTCTTAACTCATAGAGTAATTTCGGATAGGGTACACCGTCTGCTCGTCACGCTATCTTATTTTCGGCCGGATAGATTCGTGCAACTTCTTAGTCTAATACCGATCCTAATCTTACTCTTATACTATTCTAGTCTCAGGTTGTTTAACTAGTCTCTGCTAGGCTCAATAGATCTAGGGTATACTGGTTTATTGCGGCTACTGAAGTTCTCTCGGAGAGGCAACTAATTTCTAAGTTAAATTCAAATCTCTCTGGTGCTGAAATTACAAGTAATTTCAGCACTTACAAATAAGTGGGTTGTTAGTTAGATGGATCATGATTGGTTAATATTAAATACTTTACAGTGGTAAAATATCTAATTTATCCAATCATAAAATGTAGTTTAGATCAGGTTCCACCCATCCGGGTTTTACAGAGTTTTTTAGAATAGTTTTTCTGCAATTCAAAGGATGGATGATGGACGTTGGTATTTGGCGAACATCATATTTCTTCTGGGTTCTCCTGTTAGAGAAGTTCCATGATCAATCGTTGTGTCTTCTTATGACAACGACTGGGTTTTCTCAACAAACTCAAATCTGATTTCAGAATGGTTTGCTATGACAGGTTTTTCTGTTTCATGTAGAGAACTTCTTTTGTGTTCAACCTAGTCTGGGAATGGCGTGGAGATTGTGCGTGGAGGGGATGCCTGGTTACTCGGATCTGTACGTATACTTGAACATCGAGGTGGTCATTGGTCTAGTTCAATGAAGTCCTTTTCTGCGAAGTCAAGTCGTACTCTAAATCCTTTGAGTTGTGATTGTGGACGGCATATTGATTGTGGTTGGCCATTCTTTTTCGAGTGTAGTGGGGTCCTTTTGTCTTTGGATGTTCGTCTTTGGTGTTGTATGCTGATCTATATACTGCAAGGTATAATTTACATTTTATAAAATTTTTATTAGTTCGGTGTTTTAATTATGATTTTGGTTAGTTGTTTTCACAAAAGCTTTTTGTTTTAGTTCGGTTATTTTGAAGAGTTACTCACCCTTGAGTACCTCTTATCAAAAATAGAAGTGTGGTCACAAAGCGTGGATGTAGCGCGGTGGGTTAGGCCGGCTATAGAGCATGCTCAGGACGTCCTCTCTGTTGGGTTAGGCCAGGAGTGGGAGTATGATTTCGTGCGGTTTTTGTGAGAGGTCCTGTTATGTGATAACGTTTTATGTTGGGTTTATTGTGGTTTTTCTTATGTTTCGTTGGTTGTGTCCTTTTTTCAAAAATCAAATTGTTTTTGGTATGGGTTTGTCTTTCGACTTTTTTGTGTTTTATTATTTCTTTCTTAGACTTTATAATAGTCTTCAAAAGGATAAATTATCCAGTTTTAAACTGGTTTAATCCGGTTTGGGTACCGTTGGTTTCCTTTTCTTAGTCATGCTATTATTATATGTGTTGTGGTGTTTAGTAAGCTGCTAATGAATATGATAAATTATACTTACTTCTTAGTCGTCGGGGAAAAAACCGTGGGGGAAGATGTCGTGTATTATGTCGGAATTTGTTAGTAATTTTGCTAGTATGCGAATGATGTTTTTAGTTTGAAGCAGTGGCCAAAGCAATTGAAGTGCTTTAATAGTTTTTAGTTCTTCAGTGCCAACTGCAAACTCATAAGGTGTGTTTTGGATGAGATTATATAATTTGTGATTGTATTTAGTGTTGTGAATGAATTCTAATATCGGGATTTCTATAGGTTGGATAAATTCATGTGGGATAAGGAAGGGTCTGGATTCTTCTGCGTTGAAGGTCTTCGTGATGGGACAAAAAATATACATTTGGGTTATGGGATCATAATTGCGAAGAATACCGTGAAGGTTAGTATCTTTGATGCAATATGTGAAGTTAAGAAAAAATGGTGATGTGTATTTAGAGTTAATAAATTGAAAACGGTGGTGTGGTTGTCTTGATGGAGTGTGTAGATCAAAATGATTTTGTATGAAGCGATAATATGTATATGTGTGGGTTTGTTTAGTTCGTAACATAATGTCGTGTGAGCAGTGCAAATCGCGTTCTTGTGGTGCAAGGAAATTGAAGGTTAGTGAAAATAATTGAAATCTTTCTTTAAAACTTTCGTAAGCTTGCATGTCGGTTAGTGCTTCAGAAATGACGTGGTCGAATTTGCGATCAAATATATTGAGTGTAAATACATATGGTGTTTTTATGAAGAATTTTTCTGTGATTTGTGGGTTAGCGAAACGATCATCATCTAAAAATTGGTCTTGGTTAGCTCGGATGATGTTTTGATCGTAATATTCTAGCGTATATTCGTTTGCTCGGGGTGCAGTGTATGTTTTTAGTGACTTTTTATATCCTATATAAGTAAATTGTCTATGTGTTAGTGGTGTGGTGAGTCGATATAGCAAATCTTGATTTCTTTCTATATCGATGTGAGTATTAGATAAAGGTAGGCAAAGGGGGTTAGTAAAATGATAATATGATGTCCAATGAAGTGTAGGCATTAAAACTTGTTCATCTACAAAACTACGTGTGTCGTTAGTGTTGTTAGGAGTGTTCAAAGTATATTGTGGAAATGAAGGTAAGGTGATTGCTAAAAAATCTTTCGTGTTAGTGTGATTTGGATGATTAATATATTCACGGGCTGTTCCTGGTTTTGTTGGAAATGGATGGTTTGGGAATTTTCTTTTGAAAGTGCGATAAGCTCTATTAGTGCTATTTGATGATTCGGTGGATGTGGATGATGGTGCTAATGATGCGGTATAAGCTGAAGAGGGTGTAGGGGTAGGTGGGTTTGATGATTCTATTGTGGATGAAATCTGATTTATAGTGGGGTTTTCAAGGTGGAAAGGGTTGTTGTTGTAGGGTGATAAAATTATCTAGTTCCTGGGAGATTTGGGGAGTATCTGGAGAATTGGATGATCGGTCTGAATGAAATGAAGAGTAGGTTGGGGTGACTTGTGAAGCATAAGAGGGTGTAGAAATGGATGGGAGTGGGTTATTTGGTGGGATTGGTTGAAAAGGGGATTTTGAAAAAACGGAGGAGTTGGTTTGAAAATTATTGGATGGAGATGGTTCAGAGTCTGCAAATTCATCAGGGGTTTCAATATTTGGGTTATTGAGTTGTGAAATGGAGTATAAAACTGAGATATGTGAATTAGTGTCTGAATTCATGCCTGATGTTACATTATTGGTTGGGAAATCGAGTGGCGGGAAAGCAAAAAGTGGAATTATTGTAATTGGAGTGTTGAGGTTGGTTGGATGGGAATTTGAGCGGTGTAGGGATCCAAGTTGTCGGCTCATCGTGGGCTAAAAAAATTATTATTTTGAGACTGAAAAGCGGTGGTATGGGGTTGTTCTATAATTTGTTCATATGTATTTTCATCTAGTGAATGATGTGTCATTATATGCTGAATGGGACTTTGTGATATGGTTGGTCTAAAATTTGGATTATGTGTTATTGCTAAATTTCGAAAATTTCGTGGGACTAGGGATAATGGATGGTTATGTGGTAGGGGTGGTAACTGGTGCTGTGGGCATTATTTCTACCTTGTTATGTTCTTCGTCATATGTGTTCTGTCTTGTTGCTATTTTTGTGTTGTATTCTTTTATTTGTGCGTCTAAAAGAATTTTGTTTATTGATGATGAAAAAATTCCAAAAAATCCTGCAAATAATATGCGTGCTAGACTTGGTTGTCTATTTACTTGTGTGTGTATAGCGCATGTATTATAGATTCCTTTTAAAAGTGAAAAAAGAAATCCTATAAAGTTAAACATTGCGTATAAAATAGTTAATTTTTCTAAGATGTAATAGGGCCATCCTAGAAAATCAAGAATTTCATTTTTGAGTGTAACAAAGCTAAAAATATTTAAAGGTGAGATATCTTGTGGTCGGTATTTTTCACCGTTTAGATATATATAGTCTTTAATGTCTTTAAAATATCCGCTATAGTCTTGTGTATAAATATCTGCAAATCCTGCGGTTTCGGCAAGTTTGCGTATGTTTTGGTCAATTGATTGTCTTTGTATAGTGTCCATTTGTGTTAATAATTCTTGGAATTGTTGTGTTCTAATGTGATGTTGGATATCGGATTTTGAATATATTCCAACTGACTGTAGGTCAATATTTGGGTTTCGAGCAATAGCTCTAATGCTTTCAGGTGAAAATTTTTTGAGTGATTGCATTAATGTGG